ACTGTTCAACTGAGAAAACAAACAGGCAGCCAGAGAGCCATGTTGCAGTATATAACTCTCAGAGCCTGGATGGGAGCAATCACCCAACATACCACAAACTCTAGATAGTAACCAAGTATTTTATTGTTCAGACATTTGTGGAAATGTCTCTTGGACTTGGTGCTTCCTGAAGAATGCAGTAGATGCGAAACAACTAAGGTGATATTTTTATGTAAAGAAAAAAAAACACATTTCATTTTTACTTGTGCAGAAACTAGCTTAAGATGTTCTAGTAGGGAAATACAGCCTCTTCTGTAATTCTCTGACCTAAGCTAGTTTATAGTCATGGAAACCATAGACTGATGGTGAGTCCACGTTCCTTTTAGGAGGGACCCTGATACTCAGCCTTCAATACAGTGTGTTCCTTCAAGCATTCTTGTGAATGGCTTGCAGCCATACATAAAGGTAATCCTATTTTGGGAAAATGGAAGTACCCAGACCTTCTTCTGTAGCTTAGCTGATACTGACTCTGAACTGATAGTAATCTCCAGAGATGGAAAAACACCAGAGTTGCACACTTGCCGGTGGGACTAGTGGAAGTAACTTGAAAGGTACTTTTGGCTGGTGTTCATCTCTCAGTAGGTGCAATGGGACCAGACTTACAGGTGATCATTATTTACCCAGACCCAGACATCATATTGGGTATGGATGTCACAGAATAAAACAGCATCCTCATTTTAGTTCCCTGTCCCTGGCACTTGGAATTAGGGTTATTATTGTTGGAATGTTCTAGAAGAAGCCCTTGTAATTGCTCCCCTTAGGCATCCTCTGCCACAACGGTAAGCAAAATGCAGTATTGCATCCTTGGGGAGAAGTGCAAAAATCAGTGCCTTCATTAAATTTGAAGATGCAAGTTTGGTTGTCCCAATTCATCAACTTTAACTCATCTCTTTGTCTAAGGGAAAGGATTGAGGGTCTTCAAAGTGGAGATCATGAGTGAACAAGGTTTACTGGTAGGCAAGTTAAAGAAAGACTATAGGAATAATAACTTTTGTCTTGGGAAATAAAATGGAGGGATTCACCTTGGAGTTAAAACAAGTTTATGTCCCTCAAAACTGTACAATGGAACTAACTCACATTAGGATTAAGCAGTTGCAGCCTTTGAGGTATAAAGAATGCATTTTGAGATCACTAAGTTTGTAAAGGAGGTTGAGAGACTGCCATATTTTATTGAAACTTCAAAGTCATAGACTGGAAGATGTCTTAAATCCCTTATGTCCACAATGTATTCGATTCTAGTCACAAATGCATGCATAGGAGGCTCTCACTAATCAGGTGGCTGAAGTGACATGCTCTGTGAATGTCAGTCAGCCTCTTTCCCCACACACTCCAGTTCATGTCCAATGGGCTGTTGTACAGAGTGGCCATAGCAGCTGGAATGGGCTCAACAACACTGTCTTCTCACTAAGGCAAACTTGTCTAGCACTGCTGTTAGGTGTCCAAAATGCAAATGGCAGAGGCCACCGCTATGCACTTGAGATGCCTTCACATTCTGGGAGAATGCTGAACCATTTGGGTAGCACAGTGATTGGGTTAGACAACTTCCTGCTATTCAGAATTGCAGAAGTAATGAATTTCCTCCTTGCAATAATCACTATTGGGGGACTTATCTTCTTTACATATTCATTTTCTTACCAGTTATTTTTCCTGCCAGCACCAACAGATGTAGACTTACATAATGGCTTTTTCATGACCATGGTATCCACCAAACATTACCTGTACCAAGAAATATATTGGATGGCAGAGGAATGGTAACAATCCCCCCCCCAATTTGCAGGAATAATTGGTTTTACTATTTACATCATTATTTAGAAGTAACTGCCCTGATGCAATAATGGAGTGGCCACATGAAAGTTCAGTCATGGTTACGGAGGTGTCTGCTAAGTATGCTACAAGTTTAAAAAGAGCAGCAAATGTATCATTCATTTTCCCTTATTGAGAATGTTTATCCTTATAAACCCAAGAGATGAGATGGGAATGGCCCCTGTAGTGACCAGGAAAATAAGCCTTCCAAAGATCCAGGTACAGACAGTGTAATTGCCCAAAGGACCTAGCTGCTGACCTCTGATATACATCCCCCCAATTCGTATCAAGGTCATGCCTCCCACATGGTCCTCCCAGCTAATGACTGAGTACAGAAGGCATACAAGTGCAGGAACATCGTGTTAGACAGTGGACCTGCTTGATCACTGATTTTACCTCAAGGACCTTCCAGTGATGCTGCTGAACTGACTATAGTCTGAGCAATGACCCAGGATGTTTTTGCCCATCCTTCTTTCCATCTCTTCTTCACTTGCAGCCAGACTTCTGTCATGTTGGTGGCATTCATTCTTTTCTTCTGGCTCCCTCTCCATTTTCTCTTACACATTCAGTTATTTTCCCAAATAATATTCATGCATATGTAATTCCACTTTGGTGTCTGCTCCAAAGGAACCCATCTAACACAGTCTCTTTTACTGTTATATGAAATATCCCAATAGGAATATAATTTCCCTGTCCATAACCACACACTCAGTATATTTGGAAGTTTATGTGCACAAGGACGGAATGCTGCCCCAGCAAAACACCTGGTCAGGTGCTCTGACCAGTTGGAATCCAAGAAGTACCCTGGTCATGCTGGGCTCCTCCTGCATTGAACTGAGGGGTCACTCTCCTGGGCAGGGCTATTGATGTCAATCACCAGAGAAAAATTATTGGAGGCTATAAAATGAGATCAAGAAGTATCATGGCTGGAACCCAGGGGATTTAGCAGCACATTTCCTAGCATCCCCTTAGCCTTCTCTGTCAAAGGAAAAGTACCACAGACAAATACTAAACAAGATATTCAAAGACCCAGTTCTAACAATAAGATAATTTGGACAACTTACCCAGTAATTCTCATTTAACTGAGGTGCTGAGAAAGTGTGAAGGGACTAGAGCCATGCAAGAAGGGAGGTAGAGAGATTTGTTTTGTTAT